CTTTGTTTAGTTATAGATGGGTGACTAATTGTATATTTAAGGGGAGATAAAAAGGGGCCTTCTCATTCTGCCATGATGCTGATGTTTCTCTCATCTTAACCATTTTTAAGTGTATAGTTCAGTAGTCTTAAGAACATTCACATTATTGTGCAACCAATCTCCAGAACAGTTTTCACCTTTCAAAACAGAAACTCTATAGCCATTAAACATCACCTCCTGTCCCTCACCACCTCAGCCCTTGGTAATCACCATTATGCTTTCTTTCCCTCTCTATGATTTTGAGTGCTCTCGGTATCTCATATAAGTGGAATCATACAACATTTGTCCTTTTTTGACTGGCTTATTTCATTTAGCATGATGTCCTCAAAATTCATCCATACTATAGCACATTTCAGAATTTCTTTCCTGTTTAAGGCTGAATGACATTTCATTATATGTGTATACCAAATTTTGTTTATTCATTTACCTGTTGATAGACATTTGGGTTGCTTCTATCTTTTGTTTATTGTGAATAATGCTGCTATGAACATGGATTTACAAAATCAATTCAAGAGCATGATTTCAGTTCTTTGAATATATATCCAGAGGTGAAATTGCTGGGTCATATGATATTTCAGTTTTTAGTTTTTGAGGAACTACCATACTATTTCTGGAGTTGCTGCATCATTTTATATTCTTACCAACAGTACACACAGGTTCCAATTTCTCCTTGCCAAAACTTGTTATTTCCTTTAAAAAATATATAATAATGAGGTGCGAGTTGGTATATCATTGTGATTTTGATTTGCATTTCTCTAATAATTAGTGATATTGGGCATCTTTTCATGTGCTTGTTGGTCATATCTATTTTTTTTTGTTGCAGAAATGTTAATTCAAGTCATTGGCCCATTTTTAACTTGGCTCATTTGTTTTTTTCTTGTTGGTGAGTTGTAGTATACTCTTACATATTCTGGATGTTAACTCCTTATTAGATATATAATTTACAAATATTTTCTCTCATTCCACAGGTTGCCTTTTCACTTTGTTGATTGTGTTCTTCAATGCATAAATGTTTCAAAATTTGATATAGTCCATGTATTTTAACTTTGTTGTGTGTGCTTCTGGTGGTATGTACAAGAAATCATTGCTAAATCAATGTTATGAAACTTTCCCGTATGCTTTCTTCTAAGAGCTTTATAGTTCTAGCACTTATATTTAGTTTTTTATTTATTTTGAGCAGTTTTTTGTATATGATGTAAAGTAAGGATCCATCTTTATTCTCTTACTTGTGCATATACAGTTTTCTCAGTGCCCACTTATTGAGAAGACCATTATTATTCCCATTAGTCTTAGCATCTTTGTGTAAAATCACTGACAGTATATGTGAGGGTTTATTTCTGCCCTCTTTATTTCATTCCAGTGGTCTGTATGTTTGTTTTTAAGCCAGTACCACCCTGTTTTGATGACTATAGCTTTGAAGTCAGGAAATATGGGACCTCTTACTTTGCTCTTTTTCAAAATTGTTTTGGCTATTTGGGTCCCTTGAGATTCCATGTAAATTTTAGGATGGATTTTTCTATTTCTATAAAAGATATTATGGGATTTTGATAGCGATTGCATTAAATCTATAGGTTTCTTTGGGTACTATTGACATCTTAACAATATTGTTTTCTAATTTCTGAACATGGAAAGTCTTTCCATTTATTTATATATTATTTAATTTCTTTAGCAGCATTTTGTAGTTTTCAGTATGCAAATATTCACCTCCTTGGTGAAAATTTATTCCTACATATTTTATTCTTTCTGATGCTATTGTATATATAATTTGTTTTTAAATTTTCTTTATGGATTGTTCATTGTTAGTGTATGAAATGCAACTGATTTTTGCCTGTTGATTTTGTATCCTGCAACTTTGCTATGTTTATTAGTTCTGACAGTGTATGTTTGTATAGTCTTTAGCATTTTCTACATATAAATCATGTTGTCTGTGAACAAAGATAATTTTACTTCTTTCTAATTTGGGTGCTTTTAATTTATTTTTCTTGCCTAATTGCACTGGCTAAAAGTTCCATTACTATGTTAAATAGAAGAAGCCAAAGCTGGCATCCTTGTCTTGTTCCTGATATTAGAAGAAAAGCTTTGTCTTTCATCACTGAGTATGATCTTAGTTGTGGGTTTCTATATATATGGTCTTTATCATGTTGAGGTAGTTACCTTCTGTTCTTAGTTTTTTGAGTGTTTTTATCCTGAAAGGATGTTGAGTCTTGTCAAGTATTTTTCTGTATCAAATGGGATAATCATATGTTTTACCCTTCATTCTGTTAATGTGGTATATTGTAGTGATTGTTTTTCATATGTTAAACCATCCTTGCATTCCAGGAACAAATTCCACTTGGTTGTGGTGTGTAATCCTTGTAATGTGCTGCTGAATTCTATTTATGAGAGAATTTTGTTGAGGATTTTTGCATCAATATTCACCAGAGATATTAGTTTATAATTTATCTTCTTGTGTATTTGTCTGGCTTTAGTATTAGAGTAATGCTGCTTTCATAAAGTGAGTTAGGAAGGGTTATTTCCTCTTCATTTTTTGGAAAAACTTGAAGAGAATTTGTGTGAATTTTTTATTTTTATTTTTAAAATTTTATTATTGTTTAAAATATTACAGATGTCCCTTTTTCTCCCCAATGACCGGTTCCACCCTGTTCCTTCCCCCTCCCCAGTCCCTCTCCCCACCATTGTCCATGTCCTTGGGTTGTGTATATATGCACATAAATTCTTTGGTTACTCTCTCCCCCTCCACCTACTTGCCCTCCTCCATCCCTCTGACATTCATCAGTCTCATCTGTGCTTCCATGTCATTGAATCTATTCTGTTCATCAGTTTATTAAGTTCTTTAGATTCTACATATAAGTGAGATCATGTGATATTTGTCTTTCACTGCCTGGCTTATTTCATGTGTGAATTATTTTTTAAATGCTTGGTAGAATTCAACAGTGAAGCCATGAAGTCCTAGGATTTTCTTCGTTGGGAGTTTTTTTTAAATTATTGATTCAATTTCCATTACTAGTTATACATCTGTTCACAATTTCTATTTCTTCATGATCAATTCTTGGTGGATTGTGTATTTCTAGAAATTTGTGTTTTATCTAGTTATCCAATTTGTTGTCATAAAATTTTTTCATAGTATTCTCTTATAATCCTTTTTATTTGTGTAAAATCACTTGTAATGTCTTCTCCATTTCTGATTTTAGTTATTTGAGTGTTCTCTCCTTTTTTCTTAGTCTCCAAAAAGGTTTGCCAATTTTGTTGATTTTCTCAAAGAATCAATTCTTGGTTTTGTTGATTTTCCCATTGCTTTTTAAATATTTTTTTTTGCTCTAGCCAGTTTGGCTCAGTGGTTAGAGCATCTTCCAGCAGATTGAAGAGTCCCAGGTTCGATTCCAGTCAAGGGCACGTAACTCGGTTGCAGGCTCAATCCCCAGCCCTGGTCAGGGTGCATGTAGGAGGCAACCAGTCGATGTGTCTCTCGCATTGATGTTTCTCCCTCTCTGCACCCCCCCACTTCCACTCTCTCTCAAAAGCAATGGAAAAAAACACCCTTGTGTGAGGATTAAAAAAAAATTTTTTTTTCTTTTTTTGTTGATCTCTGCTCTAATCTTTATTATGTTCTTTCTTTTACTAGCTCTGAGTTTAGCTTTTCTTTTTTTTCCTAGTTCTTTATGGTGTGAAGTTAGGTTGTTGATTTGAGATATTTCACTTTTTTAAAATTTAAATGCTTATACCTATAAACTTTCTTCTTAGTACTGCTTTTACTGCATCCCATAAGTTTGGTAAGTTGTGCTTTCATTTTCACTTGTCTCAAGATATTTTTAAATTTCTCTTGTGATACCTTCTTTGACCAATAGGATTTTCCAGTGTTTCTTCTGCTACTGATTTCTAGTTTCATTTTAATGTGATTGTATAAGCTACTCTGTATGATTCCAATCTTTTAAAATGTATTAAAATTTGCTTTGTGGCCTAACATATGGTCTGTCCTGGAGAATTTTCCATGTGCACTTGAGATAAATGTGTATTCTGCCCTTGTGGGTGCAGTGTTCTGTTCTGATATGTCTGTTGGTACAGTTGCTCTATAGTGATGTTCAAGTCTTCTGTTTCCTTGTTGATCTTCTGTCTCGTTTTCTATTGATTATTTTAATGTGGGGCATTGTTTCTCCTACTATATTGTGTTCCTGTCTATTTCTCCCATTAATTCTGTCAATACTTGCTCCATATATTTAGGAGCTCTGATGTTTGGTGCATATATATTTATATTTGTTTTACCTTCTTGGTGAATGAAATGGCAATTTTTTGGCCATATAATTTGCATTTTATAAAGTCAAATACGATAATCCTTCCTTCTATGGGTATGGGTTTACTGTCTTGTTTAGAGAGATTTTATGCACTTTATTATCAAGGAATAACTTAACTAGTGCTTTCTTCTAGAGTATTTGTGTTTTTATGTTTTAATGTGTAGTCTACTCAGGGGTACAAACACCATTATTTAATACGGACTTGAGCCTTTAATATTCTGAACTGATTGGGTCCCCCAAATAAGTGCAACCCCCAAGCTCTCTTCGTGTTGTGTGGTCTGCCTGGCTTCGCCTTGCCTTACTGTTGCCCTCTTTTTCTACCACTCTTCTACCAAAATCTAAGTAGTTAATTAGGTGTCCCCACCTATTTCCAGTATGTCCATCTCCTGTCATTGCTGGTTTTCTCTACATGTTAAGTAAATTATGGTTTTCAGCCAAAATTTCATGCTTGCCAAGCACAGTGCCTTGACAGTGTAAATACCTAATAAATATTAAGTGATACTAAGATTGTTGTCACCTGGATTCCACACGCATCCTGGGAATGTGAAAGGAGAATCAGAGACTATGGGATTTGCATGTTACACTCAAGCTTGGGCCAGTTTATCCATTCTTTAATGCCATCAAGGGAGGGGGCTTGGCTTGGGAGGTGAAGGGTTGAACCCTGAGAGGAAGTTATTTTTGTGTGGGATTTACCATCCTTCCCACAAGGAGGGGAATGTTGCTGACTTTATCCATGATGACGACTAAAAATGGCCTGTTCAACTTGATGTTCAGATACCAACGCAATCTACTCTTATCAAAAGAGGTGACACCAGAATATTTTGTGTCAATTGTCAGCACAGCGTTATGCAGCGCCTGGAAGGGAGAGAGCAGAGGCATGTTTGGGGCAGAGGCAGACGGCACCATCCTTCACCCAAGCCTGGGAGCAAGCCTCCGATATGGAGGGATCTGTTCTAGAGCTCAAGGCCCAGTGAGGACCTGGGTTTTTATAACATTTCCTTGATTTAAAAAAAACAAAACAATGACAAACAAGCAGAATTACCAGCTGAGTGTCTGCCATTTGAGCATTTTTTTTAAAGAGCCACTAGATTCACAACTTGAATCATCATGATGTAGTGGAATGAACTTGACTGTCAGCCACAGGATCGGGGTTCCAATCCCACTTTTCCCTCTGATTAACTAACTGTGGCACCTCAAGGAGATGAGTACTCTTTACGAATCCTCACTTCCTAAGTAGGAAAACCAGAGTTGTATGATGTGATCACCAAGGGCCAGTAAGTGCATTATGTAAGAAACCTCAGTCAGTGTAGGTGCTCAATAAATGTGTGTGTTTGTGTGTGCATATGTGTGTGTGCATGTGTTAGAGGTGTGCATGTATGTGTGTGTTCTTGAGTACAACAAAATGAAAGGATCTTTATCTGGTACTGTGGGGCACCACCATCCACTGGTCCCACCTACTCACTCAACCTTATCCCAGATCCTCTTCTTTACCCTTCCTTCCCCAGGGGAAGGTCACTTCCCTGCCCCTCCACACCATACTCAGTCCTCTCTTACCACCGGGCCTGTCCTTCCCCAACCAGGTCCTCCACTCCTGGCAGGAGACACATAGGCCTGTCTCCGCCTTCTCAAGGCCTTTACCTGACTCCATCTGGGCACCCTCACATCTTCCCAACCAACATTCTCAGTCTCCCTGGAAACAACCCCCCACCTCAGGAGGTAGAAGATTTACTTGAACTTTCCATCTTCCTTGGCACGTCTCTTGTTTCTGGTTTCTCATTTTAAGGTCCTTGGGCACCAGGACTTAGATGGGGACCTTCATAGTGTCTGGTCCACAACCAGGCACTCAGTTCATAATCAGTATAGAACTGTAGTTGTTTCTTCAGTCATTTTTAAGTCTCCTGATAAATGGCATCTTTAGCCAAAATCACTCATTAACTTGGACTTGCTGATTCATCAGTAGCTCCCAGTGTCACAGGATGTGGGGGCCAAAAGTCCTTTGAAATCCCTGACCCTCAATCTGTCTTTGTAAATATGGGTCCATTGAGCCCAAAGAATGGAAGACCCTGACCAAAGATGAGACACAACCTCAGGGGACATCCCTAAAATGCCAGAACACAGGAAGCCACGTCCCTCACTCAGTCACCTGACCATATCCCAATCCTGGTGAGTCTAATGGAATAGCATTCCTCAGAGACCTGTCTATAGGTGTGTGTATGTGTCCCTTTGTCCCCTCCCCTTGTGCTGCAGCTCCGTACACATTCTGACCTATGGACACCAGGGACAAGCTCACCTGGGACAGCTTCAGGGGTGTTTCCTCACTGATCCCCGAGAGCTCAGCTGCGTTGTTGAAGACCTTGGTGATACCCATTTTGCCCAGCACATTTTTCAGATCGTAGGTTCCAGAAATGGACAGTCTGGGCAAACTTAAATCGGCAGATCTGTCAAGATGGTTAGAAAACAGGAATTTCACAACATTGAAAGTTTTCCTTTTCTGGCTATTTCTCCCACTTGGCACCTGTGTCTCTGCCCACAGGAAGATGGAGGTTGGTGTTGGTTTATTGTACTTTTAGGTGCCCTACCCTGTGTCAGTGAGTAGAATGACGAGAGTCCTCTTGCCCTGCAAAGCCTCTCAAATGCCATCTCGTCTGAGAAGCCCCTCGGGCAGATCTAGGATGTCCTCTGGAAGCACTCTGCACACTGCCCTGTAGGGTTTGGTCACCCCCAGACTGGGACTTTGGGGCTGGAATCCCAGGGGAACGTGTGGTGTGGTGTCAGGTGCTGAGTGCCATTTGCCCAGTGAATGATGAGTGATGCAGGGTGCTGATTGCTCAGCTCTTGTTTTCCACGGGTACAAAGTGTGGCTGAGAGGGTCTGACATGATTCTAGCCATGAACCTTCTATCCTTTCACCCCACATTCAGTCTTTGCCAGGAAGCCCACCACTTCCTTCTTGGTNCCTCACAGGAGTGAGCTGACTGGCACTCAGGCTCCCTCTGACTCGCGATAGATTCAGCCCCTCTCTGTTCTCTTTTCTCAACCTCTGATGCCAAGAATTCAGGACTGGGGTTGGGTGGGTAGAGGTGTTAAAATATCTCTTTTAATTTTAACCTCCTTCTGTTTGTATTTTAATATTCATTTATATGTATGTTTATAATGTATTCTTTTAGATATTATCTATTTTATCCATTTATTTTACATTTTGTTTTGATTACTTATGTGTTTATATTGCACATATTTATATATTTATGTATATTTTGTAATGTACATGATGAAATATTTATGAGCACAGGCATTTGTGGATACAGAGGCATATGTACTAATTTGGGGCACATGCTCAAGTATTACTTCACTCTGGGGGCCCCAGTGAAACCACACCGACCTAGTGACAAGGACAGGAAGCACCGCCACCCCAGGCCTTTGCTTTCCCTGCCTCCAAGCAGCTTCCCCCCATGCAGCTGCGGACTGGCTATCCTTTCACTCCACACTCAACTGCTGCCTCTGCCAGGAAGCCCACCACTTCCTTCTCCATTCTCCTACAGCGAGTGTTGGTGCTGCTCTCCTTGTACCTGCTGCTGACACCAGGAAGGGGCAGTGTCTATGCTGGGGAGGAAGTCCCCAAGGACAGGACTCCTGAGCTGTGGGCACTGTCCCTCTCACAGGGGTGCTATGTGAACTGATGCTGACCTCTGTCTGGAAACACAAGGTCATTCGCAGTTGCTTGGCCCACCGGATGTGGGTCCCCTATCACCCCTCTCTGGCCAGGCCTGATGTGGCAGGCCAGCCTCTGATCGGGGATATCACCTGAGTTGTTTCATTTTCAGGAATGTAGCGAGGTCTTCCTTGGAGAGATTGGCTTCCAAATGGTGCATTTTCCCTTTGTCAGGCAGGATGAAGAAGGCGGTGGCGTTGCCCACGTAGTCCATGAGCAGCACCCAGCTGGAGAGCTTGTTACAGTAGACTAGGTTAAACATGTCCAAGCTCTTCATCATGGGCACCTTGACAGTGGTGGCCTCATCCACATGGAAGTCCTCCTCCTCGGTCATGTTAACGTTGAAGGGTTCCACCCATTTCCCTGGAGAGAGGTGAAGGTGCATGTCAGCCAAGAGTGGGAAGGGGTTAGGTACCTGTGGTAGAATGAAGGAGCCCTGAGCCTCCTCGATGAGATGGCTCTCTCTGAGCCTCAGCCTCCCCAGCTGTAAAATGGAGCTGAAATGGACATCAGTCCACTGACAGGACTTTTGTGAGGATAATGCTGGACTGGAGGACGGTCCAGATTGTCTCTATTGTAGAGGCTCAGGGATGCCAATCTGGCTGGTCAGAGTAAGCATTTTCACTTGTATTTCATTTGTTTGGAAGATGCTAAATGAAAATTATTGGCATCAGTCATACTTGGCACCTCCTTGCCTGAGTCTCTCTGCCCCTTGTAATTGGCGGTTCTTATCATTCAGGGAAATCACTCCTGTTCTTACCCTAATGGCCTTTTCCTGGACCAACGTGAAATGTGGAGGCCTGGGCACCCCCTCTGCGATACCAAGAGACTGTCACCACCTGACAAGTCAGAGTAGACAGGAGTCTTGGGGACCCCTGAGCCCCAGTTTCTCATTGGATGAAAGACAGAGACAGAGTCTGGAGAGGGGACAAGATGCACCTGAAGTCCCACAGCAGAGCTGGGACCCAAGCTGTGCTGACTCTGGCCTCGGGGCTCTCCATCACACCATTCTGCTTCAGGCCAAGGAGCCAACAGTGTGAAGGAAGCAGCCCCTGACCTTGATTGTCGCCTCCTTACCTCAGCTATTTCCATGGACTATTTAAACAGCCTCAGAATGCCCTCTGGGCCCCACAGGTTTCTGACATTTTCAGCACTTGGAGGGAGGAAGGCAGGCTGAGATTCAAGTTCAGTTGAGCACCCACTTTGTGAGCTTATAGTCCCATGTAACACATTTACTCCTTACAGAAATGTGACAGCAAGGGGATTATTATGTTCATGTTCCAGATAGGAAACTAGTACCTCAAAGAGGTAAAATGACTTGATGATAGTCAAACAGCTAATAAGAGGTAGAGGCAGGATTTGAACCCTGGTCTTTCTGCCTCGAAAGCTGTCACTCCTTCCACTACACTAGAGTGGTTCAAGAAACCTATTCTTTTCGTGCATGCTGCTAAACTTTGTTTTCTGGCCCTGTGTTTGCAGGGAGGCATTGCATATTTTACCTCCCTCCCTGGTAGGGATTTATGATACACATGAGAACATACACAAAAGACTCTGACAAGTCCTGCAGGGAAGATGATGCTTTGACTGTTTGACCCATTGCTCCCTAGCCTTACTTGACCATGGTGAGTTTTTTTTGGTTGGTTGTCCTCAACTGCATAACCCATGTTGAGATGCATAGTCATGTCGCACCCTGCACTGCCAAGGAAAGTTTAAGAACTGATGCTTGAGAATATTTTTGGATGTTTCTATGTGAACAAGAGCAGGCTGGTTGTGCAACCTTACCTTTAAAGAAGATGTAATTCACCAGAGCCAAAACTGTGTCTTTGTCAAGGTCTTTGACCAGATTCACAAATTTTCCTTGGCTTTTCTTCTCTACATAATCATTCATGTGTTTCTTAACCTTAGTGTCTGTGAAGTTGACGGAGAAGGCTTCTGAATGATACATTTTCTGGACATCGCCCAGAAACGTATGCTTTTGCTTCAGCTTCTTATCAATAAATAGCATACTGCTACTGATCAGCTGTTTGTCTGCCTGGTTTAGCGAGTTGAAGAGATGCTGTAAGCCTTTGTGGATATCAGACGTAGGAAACTCCTTCAAGTTGAAACGTAAGCCCTGCAGGATCTGGGTGTGAGTCTCACCCTTGGCCCCCAGGGAGAGCATCGCAAAAGCTGTAGCGATGCTTAGTGGGGAGAAGAGGATGTTGGTAGAGTTGGATTGATTGGCCACATGGCGGTACAGGCTGAAAGCAAAGTCACCCAGGTTCCGGAACATCTTATGGTGAGGGTGGGGATCTATATAGGAACCCTGAGCCAGGGAGGCAGAGAGCAGGCAGCACAGGCCTGCCATCAAGAGGAGGCCCCACGTGATGGAGGATGGCATTGTCCTGTGAGAGAGAAGGGGCATCATGGTCAAGTCACGCCACACAATGAGTTCCCTGGCCACTGGTTAACACCATCTAAAGCAGCCAGAGTTTATTCCACATGTACTTTGTGCAGCCCTGTGCCAAGCACTCCCTACAACCTTGTCACCCAAAGTCTCAGAACAGTAGCTAAGACTTTTACAGTGCTTACCACCTGCCAAGCTCCATCCTGAGCACTCTGCTGTCTTATCTCATGTTCTTCTTATAACAGCCTTATGATCTATGTCATATGACGATTTTCAGTGTACAGATGAGGAGGCCAAAGCTCCACGGGGTCAAAATCACTTATCCAAGGTCACAGAGCAAATAAAGTAGCAGGACCAGAACCACACACAGGAAGTGTGGGTCCAGAGTCCATACTGTCTACAGCTCCACTGATATCTGCAGTGACCCTGAGGTGCAAGTGCCACAGCCCCTATTTTATAAAAGAGGAAACTGAGACACAGGACACATAAGGCACATGCACACAATTACCCAGGAAGCAGCCAGATCAGGCTCAGGGATGACTGGATTTGAAACAGCTCTAGGGTGGCTGCCATAGAACTTTGTTTTTTAATGGGCAGAGAGGCTGCTGTCCAGAGAGGAAAGGATCTTGCCTAAGGACACACAACCAGAACACCACAGAGTCAAGAGGAAAACAATCCTGTTTGACACTGGCCCTGACCCTTCCTCACGCCACATACTTCATCCATCTGCCTTTTCTCGCAACTACTGCAGCTCTCACATACAGGCTACTGGATCCTGAAGTGGATTATTATCTGAACCTGCGTGTGTCAGGCCTGGGAATGCTGCTGAGAAAAGGCACCTGAGAGCCCTTAATCTGGTGGGCCTCACAGACATTCATTAATCTTTGTCCCAGGGAGTATCTTATTATCTTCATTTTATAGGATGTTGAAAGTGAGGTTTGAGAGGGTTAGTGCTTTGCTCATGGCCACGCAGCTGGCCAAGCAGAGCCGAGACAGACAGGCCTCTCTGCTTCTTGTCTGGCATTCTGTGCCGGGGATGGTCACCTGCTAACTCTTCCCCAGCCGGAACCTGGGTGTTTCTAGGGGTCGGGGAACGAGGAGTCAGGTCTCAAGCTCAGTACTAGAAACACTTGGCTGCACAATTCCATACAGTGGGTGCTGTCCTGTGCATTGAAGGATGTTTAGCAGCATCCTAGTAAAACCAACCCTTAGATGTGACAATCGAAAATTCTCCAAACATTGCCCAGTGCCTTCTCAGGTCAAAAGTGCCCCTGTGGAGGTCCCTGTGGGGCAGGAGGGGCTCATAGCCTGAGGCCCCCTTGGGAAGCCACCACCTCCCTGGTTGGACAGAATTCTCATTTCAGAGTGGCTTTGGGTCAATTGAGTCCCAACTGAATTTGCTTATTGGGGCCAAAGTTGTCACTAGACCCAGTCAGTTTGGGGCATTCATTCTTCTTGAGTAGGGACCTTGTCTAGGGACCCCAGGACTCTGCTGTGGCACGCTGTGACCAGGCCTCTGGGAGACATAGCAGATCTCCTCTCCTGCTACCTGGGGGCTTGGACACCTGTTCTTCACTGGGAACTTAATAATAGCCACCTCTAAGAGGCTTAATTACAGCAGTCTCTGAGGGTCAGGGCTGTTCCCATTAAATAGTCATACAGCCACAGGCCCTAGAAACCATTCCAAGCTGGCCCCACAGTGAGTCTGAGATCCCATCCCCCATATTGTCTACAGTCAGCTCACCTCCCGGCCCAGGGCTCAGATGATGCTACTTTCTCCAGTGACACAGGGTGGATGTTGCGGGGTGGCATTTCTTTTAGCTTTCATTAGGCCTGGGTTCTGATCTGCTTCTGTCGTTTCCTAGCTGTGGACCCCAAAATTTTAATCTCTCTGAGCCTGCTCTTTAAAATGAGATTTTTGGGAGAAGTGAGTGAAATCAATCTAGTCATCATAACTCACAGCCAGAAAGAGAGCTGGAGATCTGTTCTTTGGGGGAAGAGGGCCTTGGGTTTTGCAAACTAAAACTTTTAGGATCAGTGAGCAGCCAGCCATCATCAAGATGGGCTATGAACCCAGATAAGAAAGGGGAAGAGGTGACAGGAAAGGGTTATCTGAAGAGTTAATGAGTACATCTCAGCCTTTCAGAGATCAAGGCCAGGGCTCTAAGGTAGGAGGGTCGGGCCAGGGAACAGATGGGGAGACCATGGGCCATCTTCTGGAAATTGGGAAAAGCAAGGTCACATCTGTTCTTTCCACTAAGATAGGCAGAGCGTGGAATCAAAGGTAAGGTCAAGGTCTCTGGCTCTGCCTGAAGTTTTAAAGGAACCAGGTAAGAAAGAAGGATCTGAGAAAGAGAAGCATGGCAGGAAGGGGCGCAGGGGCGAGAGCCTCCAAGAGGACTCGTCCATGCCTTTGCAGGTGTCAGAGTCACAGGTGAATACCACCGAGGCCACAGGGAGGGATGAAGAGAAAAGTGACAGCAAGCCTCTATGGCCCCGGCACTTGCTGTCCTTGAGGACCTGCTAGGTGCATGGGCATCTGAGGAAAGTGATTCCATCGCCCAGGGACTGTGCTGAGCAGGACAGTGAAGGCTCGCTGCCTGGCTTCCAATCCTGACTTGGCAGTTGCAGCCAAACCTGTCCGCGCCTCAGTTTTCTCCTCTGTCAAGTGGAGACAATAATCACGGCACGGTGGCCCAGCCTCACCCCCAGCACTGGCTCCAGAGGAGGCTGTAGGGGAATTATACCCTTAGCAGATGGAACTCACCTATTCTCCAAAGAGACTCACTGGGCTGGACTTGTCTCACAGGCTGTCCCACACTCTCTCCTGGCTTCACCTACTTATAGGGCATCTCAGGGAGTTGGGAAGCTAAGTTGCATGGCCAGTAACTGCCCCCTATTATGCAGGAAATGAACCGGGGGAGCCTCCAGCGCTTAGCCAGCGAGGGCCTGATATAATCGGAGGGCCGTGCTGTACCTGCCTGAAGCAGCCTAGTCCAGCAGAACCAGCAGGTGCGAGGTCACCTGAAGGGTGGGGTTATGGGAGCCCATGCCATGCAAGACCAAAGGTTCATCTTCCTTTGATGCCCACCTCACAGATCTCTTGAGAGGAGTAAATGAGTAAAACAGTTCCAGAGCCTGAAACTGTGCCTGAGACATGGTTGACCTTCAACAAATATCAGTGGCCTGAAGTCACTGAGCTTGTGGCTGCCAAGGTGCCAGCCCCAGGAAAGTTCATGTCGGGACCTGGAATCAGCCTCCAAAGCCCATTTATCCAGGTGTGGAAGGGAGTTAATAGGCACCTGCCAAGTGCCAAGGCTCAGAGAGCCCATGTGAAAGAATGACATTGGGCCGCCCTGATGTAGTTAGAATCTTGCAGAATACCAAGCCCTCAAGGGACCTCAGTGTTCCCATTTCGGTAGTGAGAAAACAGGCTCACAGAGAAGAGGCGACCTCCCCAGCTCCCAGGGCACAGTACTGGTAGAGCTGTGAAAAGATCCCAGGCTGCCTGACTCCCAGCTCAGGGCCTATGGTCACAAATTGTTGCATTGTTAATTTTCTCAGTGACTTAAGAGACAGGAAAGCGGGAAGCTAGTCCCAAACTATTACTTTTAGAATCTGCAGTCTTGATTAATGTTTGCTGTTTAGTAAGAACCAGCACTACAAAGCACTTTGCAGAGTAATCTATAGAAGAAGCTTGGAATGAATGGCCTCATTACCCTTATTTTGCAGTGATGGAAATCGAGGTGCGCAGACTGCGTGGCCTGCTCGCGGTTCTATACTAATTGGAGGCTGACCAGGACTCCTGAATCCTTCCTGCTTTGTGATACTGCCTTTACCACTTTCATCCTAACATTTTAATGCTGAAAGTGCCCTCAGAATGAGAGGAAATTACAGCGATAGCACTCAGAACGTATTTTGAGGCTATTGATAACTGCAGACTAAAGAAAAATAGCTTTTAAAAATTAATCCAGTCTGTTCTCTGTATCTATGAGTCTGTTTCTAGTTTGTTTGTTAGTTTTGTTTATTAGATTCCACATATTAGAAAAATCGTATGGTATTTGTCTTACACTGACTGGTTTATTTCACTGAGTATAATACCCTCCCTGTCCCTCCATGCTATCTCAAAAGATATGATTTTCTTTTTTTTTTTTTTTTACAGCCAAGTAGTATTGCATTGTGTAAAGGTATCACAGCTTAAAAAAAATTTTCTTTTAAAAAATTGATTTTTAGAAAGAGAGGAAGAGAGAGGGAGAGAGAAAGAGAAACATCCATGTGACTCGGAAACACCAATCGGCTGCCTCCTTCATGCCCCCTACCAGGGATGGAGCCTGAAACCAGGCACATGCCCTGACTCCAAATGGAACCTGTGACCTTTCAGTGCACAGGACAATGCCCAACTGAGCCACACCAGCCAGGATGTTCCACAGCTTTCTTACCCACTCATCTACTGATGGGCACTTGGGCTGCTTCCAAAAAAACTACAGACACAGATCGCAGTATGTTGACTGCCAGGAGGAAAGAGAATAGGGAGGGGGAAGAGGGCAAAGGGGGGATAAACGGAGGCAGAAAGACTTGACTTTGGGTGGTGAGCGCACGATGCAGTGTGCAGATGCTGTGTTACAGAGTGCACACCTGAAATTTGTGTGGTTTTATTAACCAATGTCACCCCAATAAATTCAACAAATATATAATTAATACATATTTCTAACTTGTTCTGTTCGCTGTGCTTTCTGTGAAAGCCCCACTGTGACATTTAAAAAAATTCTAGCAGCTCTGCTCTTTCACTGCATGGTTTTCACTTTGTTCCCAGATAACCAAAGTGATAAAAAGTGCTACACAGTGGTCACGGAAGGCAGCCTTGATTTCAGAGAGCAAATGTCCCTGGTAATTATGTTAGCTCCACCTGGGGTCAGGCCTTCCCTTTGGGACTTTCCTGCTGTTCCCCATGTGACTTCACAGGGCACCCCTAGATTTTCTGGCACATTCTCACCACAGCACCTGGACTGTTTCCCCTGGCATGAGCTTACTACCCCTTTTCTGGCACTTTCTGATGTGGTTCCCTCCTAAGGGTTCCCTTTCTGCCTTTCCTGGTCCTTTCTGATGTTAGCCGTTGTGGAAGGCTTGCTTCTTAGGTGAAGACTTCTTTGAGGGCATTTTCTCTGATTCTAGTTGCATCAGTGAGAAGGAGCTGGATTTTGCTGTGGTAGCAATGAACTCAAAATCTCAAGAGCTAGCACCCTGGGCTACTGCCTGTGTCCCTGCTGGGAAGGGAGCTGCCTGGTGAGTGTGCCTTTCTCTGATTTCTCCACCCAGGAACCCTAATTCCATTAGTCCTCCAAGGCTCAGCTCAGTTTCATTTGGAAGCTTCCCCACAGGGACTGGCCATGAGTGTGTGGCTGTGTGCTTTGCTTGCAGGACCAGTTGTGAATATCCAACAAAGGGCAACCGTAGAAGGGCCCTGGCCTCTAGAGAAGCTCTCAGGTTGTGTGTGGGTGCTTGTGGATCATTGCTGATGGTTCTGAACCGACTCTGCAGATGTACATTCACCACACTGCTAAGCCTTTGAAGGCGGGACCTGGGTCTCCTCCTCTCTACCCCCAGGATTTTGCAGGTACCCAGCAAATGTTTGTACCTTCTTATTGAACAAATGCCCACCTCATGGGCTTGTGGAGAGGATCAAGGGCGCCTACGAGGTGGAAATCAGTATGTAACCTGTATTTCCCACTTGAGTTCTGAATCAGTGCACACATGTGAGAGCCCAGAAGCCCTCTTTACCTTGGTCTTCATTTTATTGAATGAGGCTCAGATGGTGCCACCAGTCAGGGCAGAGCTTGCACTTAAAAGCTTGTTATTTATGCTTAAAATCGAATTGCTGTGTCTTTACCTGCAAACTGATAGTGCCATGTGAATATCACTGCCAGGCTGTCCCTGCCTCAGCCCCAAGACTCCTGTGTATGTTTCTTTCTCATCTATCTCAGAGAGGAGCTGGATCCCCGCTTGAGGGGAAACTGACCTGGACCAGCCCAGAAGCCCTGGCAGCTGTGTCTTCAGCTAGTGTTAGACCAGAGAGGTGGACCCCACGTGGGTGGACTCCACATGGACTGGGAGGTTGGAATTCATCATAAGGTCTGTGATGGTCTGGAGAATGTATGGTGTCAGGGCAGCCCAGGCCTAAGTGAGGGATGACCTTCTAGGCCTGGGTCTTCACTCTGCTAAAACCAGTACCCCATCTGTAAATTGGGCATAACAACTCCTAGCCTGTGTCCTTCAAGGACTGATTTTGAGGGTCAGTGGATACTTTTGAAACACTAAAGAACTGGCAAAGCTGAGGCTCATGGCTGTCCTGTCTGACTTGTGGTGCACTCTTGTCCTCCTATGTCACGGCTGCCCTGATGCTTTGCCCACCCCATGAATGAACCCTGTTGGTTTCCATCTGATCCAATGAGGAGACTCTGGGGGCTTTAAGCTAATCCGAATTGGCTCCCTGCCAACCAGGTCCAGACTAATGTAATGACAGGCCGCTCTTTGAGGTAAAGTGATGGTATCTTAGGTGAGCGCCTCCACCTCTTGGTCTTTCCCTGGATTCTCAGGAGTTCCAGCTGGCCGTTGCAGCTGCCCCTTTACTCCCATGGATACCAGTATTGGGGTGTGAAATGTGTGGATTGCTTGCTGAGGGCTGTGTGCTCTGTAACCTCGAGTGGGAGGAGCTATGGTGATGAGCGGCTTTCCCACTGAGGCAGAGGGGTGTTTTCCTTGCAGTGTGCTGGGCCCCTAGCCTTCCTCATACTTCAAGGAGGAATTCAGCTCTGCGTAAGTCCTGTGGGCTGTCTGGGAGGGAACGTGGGTGATGTGGTGAGGTGTGGTGGAACAAGGAAGCCTCTGACGCCAGTTCTGCCACTTACTGGCTCTGGGACCTTGAGCAAGGCCACTAGCCTCCCTGAGCCTCAGTAGAATGGGTGTAGAAGAGCAAAGCAGCTCTGCTCACAGCATCACAGTGCTGCTCTGAGGATTCAGTGAGAAAATGCTGAAATAGCCCCTCCCAGGGAGCCAGGCTTATAGAAAGAGCTTGTAATGCCACAAATAAAGTCCCTGGCATTGGCACCCTACTCTGCTATCCTTTAAAAGCTGTTTTAACTATTCGATGTGAACCTCACACCAACTCAAGGTAGGTTTTATCTTCATATGGGGATATACTGAGGCTCAAAGAGGTTTGACTACTTCTCTAGTCACACAGCTGGAAAGTGGCAGAGTCTGAACTTGACCCAGGTTCTTAGACCCTCAGGTCTGGCATTATTGTAGGTGTCTGACAATGTTCATATCATTATTGGAGTTAGTGGAAGTTGGAAGTCTACAGGCAGGGGAAACTCGAGGATATGAGGCTTATTTGGGAAACAGTTGACTCTTCATCCATTATATTAATAATGTGAAACATGTGTAGCCATTTTGGTTTGAAAAGTGTAAATTTCTGACTCAACCTTGTTTTTTTTTTTGTTTCATTAGTCCTCACCTGAGGATATTTTTTCCATTGATTTTTAGAGAGAGTAGAAAGGAGGGAGAGGGGGGGAGAGAGAGAGAGAGAAAGAGAGAAACATCAGTGTGAGAGAGACACATTGATTGGTTGCCTCCCGCATGTGCCTCGGCCAGGGCGGAAATGGGACCTGCCAGCCAGGTACATGCCCTTGACCAGGAATTGAACCCACAACCATTTGGTGTGAGGGATGATGCTCTAACCAATGAGCCACACTAACCAGGGCTCAGCCTTATTCTTTTGGTAGACATTCATCCACCGTGAGTGGCTTAGACTGTGATTACTTGATTTGTGCGGGATGGGGCAGTCCTTCCCCAGCACAAGCCCATTCCTGTGACAGTCCAGGGAGCTGCCACCTTCAGTCTGGTGTCCTGCCCAGCTTCCTGACTGCTGTAGCTCTTTGGCAGGGCCTTGGAGGATGGGAAGGAGCCATGTGGCCCTTAGTGAAAAGGGCTGCTCCTGGGACAGCCTCTAGCTATGGTCCAGCCCTGTGGTTTCCCTCTGAGGACCATGGGGACTGCCACCGGGCAGGAACAAGGCAAGTTGAAATGTGTCCCCTTCAGAGCTGAGCCAAGGGAGGGCAAGCAGGGCCAGTGGGAGGGTTGCTGGCTTGGTATACTTCCTCTCCAATGAGTAAGGAATCATTATAATTACTTTCCAGAGCCATCCAGAACATCTTGGCCAAATGATGAGGGAGGACAGTAGGATGTAGGGTATGTGTCTTGGGGGTAACTGTCCTGCTGAGTTTGAGAAGGTGATACATACCAAGACCAGGGACCTTTGTCTTCACCTGGGGAGAAGAGACCTGCTTCTAGGAGAGTATATTTGAGGGTCCTGGGGTAGAAATGGAATGACAAGGACAGAATGCGTGTCCCCAGTCCAGCCCCATTGGAAAGGGCTCCTGGAAAGATCAGCCAGAGCCATTTGCAGGGAAGGCCTGTGAGCAGCTAGGGCCCCTGCCTGGCCCAGGAGACACTGTGGGATGAGAGGGTACCTGGTCTTCTCCCTCTGCTTCTGGAGATGTGGCAGCTCAGCACCCCCGTGTGGGCTGATGGTGCTGGGAGCACCAGGGAGGCAGCCTCATGGTGGGCGTGAGCAGCCCTGCATGGGGAGGGGCTCTCATGGGGCACAGGGGTGGGGGCTTGGTGGGAGGACCTGGTGGAAGCTTGGTAGAGGCAGGGGCCATGGGCTGGAATTTGAGCTGTGCAATTCCCTCTTAGCAGTTCCCAGACAAGCCTGGTCACCTGGAGCTTTCGCACAGTGACTGGGGAAGAGGCGGTACGCTGTGGCTGTCAGCCCGCCTTTCATCCTGTCGTGCGTGCCTAGTGCCAGGTGCTGTAAATGTCTAATAAATACCAGTGTAGTGGGTACATGCCCACAATATCCCTGTGGCGCGGAACCCACATACACCCTGGGTAGAGAAGGGAGACTCAGAGAAGAGGAGGAGGGATTTGCATGTCACTTAGACCAGGCCAGTCATTCTTTATTGTCACCGATGGAGGGGACCTGCCCTAGGAGAGGAGGGTTGAACCAGAGAGGCAGTTATTTTTGGGTGGGATCCACTACCTTCCCCATAAAGAGGAGACATTCAGTGTTTCTATCATAAATGGCCATGAAGAAGGGCCTGTTAAACTTGACATCCGGGGGAAGTGACATTGGCATGGCGTGCAGGGATGTGGCCCCGGCAGCTTCTGTCCCTTTCTCGTCTAGGGTCAGCACGGCCTTGTGCAGGGCCTGGAGGGGAGAGAACACAGAGACCTGTTCTGAGCGGACACAGGCAGCCCGTCCCCACTGGGGCCTGGGAGCAAGGCCTGGTGAGGACAGGGGTATTGGGAGGGCTTCCTGGGGCCTGTCTCCATCAGCTGAACTTCCCAACCAGGTCCTCCTCTCCCAGAAGGGGACACATAGGCCTGTATCCACCTTCTCAAGGCCTTTACCTGACTCCATCTGGGCACCCTCACATCTTCCCAACCAACATTCTCAACCTCCGTGGAAACAACCCCCCACCTCAGGAGATAGAAGATTTATTTGAACTTTCCATCTTCCTTGGCACGTCTCTTGTTTCTAGTTTCCGATTTTAAGGTCCTTGGGCACCAGGACTTAGATGGGGACCTTCATAGTGTCTGGTCCACAACCAGGCACTCAGTTCATAATCAGTATAGAACTGTAGTTGTTTCTTCAGTCATTTTTAAGTCTCCTGATAAATGGCATCTTTAGCCAAAATCACTCATTAACTTGGACTTGCTGATTCATCAGTAGCTCCCAGTGTCACAGGATGTGGGGGCCAAAAGTCCTTTGAAATCCCTGACCCTCAATCTGTCTTTGTAAATATGGGTCCATTGAGCCCAAAGAATGGAAGACCCTGACCAAAGATGAGACACAACCTCAGGGGACATCCCTAAAATGCCAGAACACAGGAAGCCACGTCCCTCACTCAGTCACCTGACCATATCCCAATCCTGGTGAGTCTAATGGAATAGCATTCCTCAGAGACCTGTCTATAGGTGTGTGTATGTGTCCCTTTGTCCCCTCCCCTTGTGCTGCAGCCCTGTACACATTCTGACCTATGGACACCAGGGACAAGCTCACCTTGGACAGCTTCAGGGGTGTTTCCTCACTGATCCCCGAGAGCTCAGCTGCGTTGTTGAAGACCTTGGTGATGCCCATTTTGCCCAGCACATTTTTAAGATCGTAGGTTCCAGAAATGGACAATTTGGGCAAATATAAATTGACATGTCTGTCAAGATGGTTAGAAAACAGGAATTTCACAACATTGAAAGTTTTCCTTTTCTGGCTATTTCTCCCACTTGGCACCTGTGTCTCTGCCCACAGGAAGATGGAGGTTGGTGTTGGTTTATTGTACTTTTAGGTGCCCTACCCTGTGTCAGTGAGTAGAATGACGAGAGTCCTCTTGCCCTGCAAAGCCTCTCAAATGCCATCTCGTCTGAGAAGCCCCTCGGGCAGATCTAGGATGTCCTCTGGAAGCACTCTGCACACTGCCCTGTAGGGTTTGGTCACCCCCAGACTGGGACTTTGGGGCTGGAATCCCAGGGGAACGTGTGGTGTGGTGTCAGGTGCTGAGTGCCATTTGCCCAGTGAATGATGAGTGATACAGGGTGCTGATTGCTCAGCTCTTGTTTTCCACGGGTACAAAGTGTGGCTGAGAGGGTCTGACATGATTCTAGCCATGAACCTTCTATCCTTTCACCCCACATTCAGTCTTTGCCAGGAAGCCCACCACTTCCTTCTTGGTTCTCTCCTGGTGTGTGTTGGTGCTGCTCTCCCTGAACCAGGTGCTGACATGGGGAAGGGATAGTGTACATTCTGGAAGTTCCCAAGGTTGGGACTTTTGCCTCCTGAGCTGTGGGCACTGTACCTCTCATGGAACCTGGTTAGTGCTACCTAAACTGATGCTGGCTTCTGTCTCAAAGCACAAGGTTATGCACGAGATGAGAGTCCACCCTCCCCTGGCCCTCTGGCCAGGCCTGATGTGGCAGGTCCTGGCCAGCCCTGAACTGGGAATCACCGTTTGTCCATGGTTGCGTAGATCCTGCGGAGGTGACCATCAGAGACTGTGGCTTCCAGCTCCTGCATCTTCCCTGGGTCGGGCAGGATCAGGTAGGCGCAGAATCTGTTCCTGTAGCGCTGCAATAGCACCCAGGAGGAGATCTCCCTGTCTTGCATTGCTTCAAACATGCCCGCGCGGTAGATCATGGGCACCTGTACTGTGGTCTCCTTGTCCACATGGAAGTCTCCTTTTGCTATACCCTCAGCCTCAAAGTTAGCCTTCCACTGGCCTGGAGAGAGGTGAAGGTGCATGTCAGCCAAGAGTGGGAAGGGGTTAGATACCTGTGGTAGAATGAAGGAGCCCTGAGCCTCCTCGATGAGATGGCTCTCTCTGAGCCTCAGCCTCCCCAGCTGTAAAATGGAGCTGAAATGGACATCAGTCCACTGACAGGACTTTTGTGAGGATAATGCCGGACTGGAGGACAGTCCAGATTGTCTCTATTGTAGAGGCTCAGGGATGCCAATCTGGCTGGTCAGAGTAAGCATTTTCACTTGTATTTCATTTGTTTGGAAGATGCTAAATGAAAATTATTGGCATCAGTCATACTTGGCACCTCCTTGCCTGAGTCTCTCTGCCCCTTGTAATTGGCGGTTCTTATCATTCAGGGAAATCACTCCTGTTCTTACCCTAATGGCCTTTTCCTGGACCAACGTGAAATGTGGAGGCCTGGGCACCCCCTCTGCGATACCAAGAGACTGTCACCACCTGACAAGTCAGAGTAGACAGGAATCTTGGGGACCCCTGAGCCCCAGTTTCTCATTGGATGAAAGACAGAGACAGAGTCTGGAGAGGGGACAAGATGCACCTGAAGTCCCACAGCAGAGCTGGGACCCAAGCTGTGCTGACTCTGGCCTCGGGGCTCTCCATCACACCATTCTGCTTCAGGCCAAGGAGCCAACAGTGTGAAGGAAGCAGCCCCTGACCTTGATTGTCGCCTCCTTACCTCAGCTATTTCCATGGACTATTTAAACAGCCTCAGAATGCCCTCTGGGCCCCACAGGTTTCTGACATTTTCAGCACTTGGAGGGAGGAAGGCAGGCTGAGATTCAAGTTCAGTTGAGCACCCACTTTGTGAGCTTATAGTCCCATGTAACACATTTACTCCTTACAGAAATGTGACAGCAAGGGGATTATTATGTTCATGTTCCAGATAGGAAACTAGTACCTCAAAGAGGTAAAATGACTTGATGATAGTCAAACAGCTAATAAGAGGTAGAGGCAGGATTTGAACCCTGGTCTTTCTGCCTCGAAAGCTGTCACTCCTTCCACTACACTAGAGTGGTTCAAGAAACCTATTCTTTTCGTGCATGCTGCTAAACTTTGTTTTCTGGCCCTGTGTTTGCAGGGAGGCATTGCATATTTTACCTCCCTCCCTGGTAGGGATTTATGATACACATGAGAACATACACAAAAGACTCTGACAAGTCCTGCAGGGAAGATGATGCTTTGACTGTTTGACCCATTGCTCCCTAGCCTTACTTGACCATGGTGAGTTTTTTTTGGTTGGTTGTCCTCAACTGCATAACCCATGTTGAGATGCATAGTCATGTCGCACCCTGCACTGCCAAGGAAAGTTTAAGAACTGATGCTTGAGAATATTTTTGGATGTTTCTATGTGAACAAGAGCAGGCTGGTTGTGCAACCTTACCTTTAAAGAAGATGTAATTCACCAGAGCCAAAACTGTGTCTTTGTCAAGGTCTTTGACCAGATCCACAATTTTTCCTTGGGTTCCCTTCTCTACATAATCGTTGATTTTTTTCTTGGCTTCCTTGGAGTCCTTAAAGTTGACGGAGAAGGCTTCTGAATGATATATTTTCTTGACATCCTCCAAAAACTTATCCACTAGCTTCACACTGTCATCGAGGAATAAGCCATTGCCGGTGGTCAGCTGCAGCTGGTTGTCTGGCTGGTTGAGGATATGGAGGAGACCCTGGAAGCCTCTGTGGATGTCAGCCTCTGCTCTCTCAGTGAGGTTGAAATCTAGACCCTCCAGGATCTGGGTGTGAGTCTCACCCTTGGCCCCCAAGGAGAGCATGGCAAAGGCTGTAGCGATGCTCACTGGGGAGAAGAAGACATTGGTGGTTTTGGACTGATTGGCCACCTGGCGGTAGAGACTGAAAGCGAAGTCAGCCAGGTTCGGGGAAATCGTGTAACTGGCTGAGCCATGGTCGTGCCTGGATGCATCTGTGTCCTGCGCAGCATCTCCCTGGAGACCCTCAGCCAGGGAGGCTGGTACCAGGCAGCACAGGCCTGCCAGCAGGAGGAGGCCTGACATGATGGAGGATGGCATTGTCCTGCAAGAGAGAAGGGGTATCACGCCCAAGTAAGGCCACAAGTGAGTCCCCTGATTAACACCGTGTAAAGCAACCAGAGTTTATTCAACGTCTACTTTGTGCAACCCTGTGCCAAGCACTTTCTACAGCATTATCACTGGAAGACTCCAGAGTCACACACCTAGATGGTCTAGGTGTGGAATCCACATTCTTGACAGCTCCACTGACGTCTGCAGTGACCCTAAGGTGCCAGTGCCAAGGCCTCTGTTTTATAATAGGGGAAACTGAGGCATGGGATGCATAATGTACGTGCTGACAGTTATCCAGGAAGCAGCCAGATCAGTCTCAGGGATGACTGATCTGGAACAGCTGTAGGAGGGTGGCCATTGAGCCCTGTTATTTAATGGGCAGAGAGGCTGCTGCCCAGAGGGGGAAGGATCTTGGCCAAGGGCACACAGCCGGAACACAGTGGAGCTTTGAGGAAACTCAGTGGGTGGCTGTGCCCACTGGACACTCACAGTGAGCCTCACCCCCTGCACCGGATGGCTGCCCTCATGTGCATCTATGGTCTCAGCTGCAGGAATGGCTGCAGTGTCTGCTTACCACCTGTCCCAGCTCTGGGCTCAGCAGGGATGTGGGTGTTAGAGGTGCTGGTCTCTAGTATAGTAGGGGTTGGGGGGGGGGCATTGAGAAAGCATCTCTTTTTTCTTCAGACAGACTTGGTTTCTAAGTACAAGTCATTTACTGTCTCTGGCCCTCACTTTGCCTCATGTAGAAAGTGAGGTCGTTGGGAGAATTTAGTGAAATAAGTCTGGACACCAAATCTTATATTGAAGGGATCTGAGAGAGCAGCTTTATGAGGGAGAGGCTACTGGGGGCTGCAAACTAGATGCCTTCAGAGGACAGGCGGAGAGGAAGATGTGTTCTATGGCTGGGGGAGACAGTACAGAGCAGTGAGGCCTATGGCTGAACCAGCAAGAGCAGATTCTGTCTATTGATGGTCTAAGTCAGTGCCACCCACAGCAACATGGAGCACCCCCCGTCCCACAGAGCTCCCTCTACTTTGGACATGCCCCAGCCCCGGGCCACCAGTCTGCAGCCCCTGAGTACAACCTGCTCTCTTCACAGATGGGGAAACAGGTCTGAGCAGAGAATATGCCTGTGGTCACACAGCTCTAGCTATGACTCAAATAACTGAAGCCATCATTTTCATAAAGTGCAGTGACAAAGGAGGCCTGGAGTTTGGATGAGAATCTGAGAGGAAGAGTTGGAAATAAGAAACACTGGGTTTATCTACCCCCTTGGACTTTTAAAAGTTTTCAATAAAACAACCAAATGAAGCACAAAACCGGGCTCTCTCCACCACTTCTTTCTGGCCTTTAGGTTTGTAAATAACCCACAGAGCAGACCACACATTACATAATATGTGTCTATATTTTTCTTGAACTAGCCTGTGGTTTTAGAGCTGAAGACAACGCTAAAATTAGTTCTGCTTGTTTTTCTCTCCCTCCGATTTCTCTAGACGTCCTACTGGATTTTGGTGCATCCTTCAGGGTTGGCGAAAAGTGCCCATCTTTGCAGGACTCACAGATCAGAAGGGCTTTGGGCCTAGGCAGGGTAGGGACACTAAATATTCCGAATGGCCTCAGGGCTAGAGGCTGTGGCTTCCAGCCCTGACAGGGCCACTACTCTCTGCTTGGCCCCGGGCAAGCATCTTATGCTGGGGCCTTGCTATCCCCGCTTGATCAGTCGAGGCGGGGTGTGGGTGTGTATGTTACCTAAATGAGGTTCCTGTGCACTGATGGTGGATTCTTAATTAGAGGGGTACCTGGGTTTGAGGAAGCAGAATGTACTCCCTATGGGGTGGGGTGAGGTGCCCCCCCCTCAGAGGGTTGCCGGCCTCTAAGAAGGTCGCAAGGCTAGAGCGGGGCTAAGGCAGGGAGGGCTGCAGCTGGAGTGAGCACGTGTTGCCCCCAGTCCATCTTTCTGGGTGCTACACCACCTAGTCTGGTTCCTTCTTTTCCAGTAAGGGGTGTGAGGCCCAGAGAGGGCCAGGGCCTTGCCAAGGCCACACAGCGAGTCAGTCACAAAGTTGTAATCAGCCTTGGTTTTCTCACCACTTGGACTTCAGACTGAGACAGCCATGGCCTCAAGTCTCAGACTCCATGAATGTCAGAAATGGGCCCTGAGGGATCCTGATGTTGGCCTCGAGCCTCCTGTCGGCCTCATTTTGCCTTTCAGTCTGTTTCTTACTACTTCAGCATCCAAGACTTCTGCTGTCTCCTTGCCCTTCTGCCAAAGGCAGCACCTTGCACCCCCCCAAAGCCTAGTGCTGGGGAAGCCACCAAGAGATGAGAGAAGAGATGGTGAAGTACCCAGAGGTGTGTGGATCAAGCTTTAAAATAAACAGTGAAGTTGGCACGGTGACATTTCCAGAGCCCAGGGCAGATGGGAGCAGTCTCTGCCAGGCAGAGGAGAGAGAAGGGAGCCATTCTTTTCACCGAATCTCACACCATTTCCACCCAGGAGCATAAAGTGAATGCCTGAGAAGGAACCAGGGTTCCAGAGAAGAGACTGCACCATAAGGTCACAGCCTCCTGAAACCTGGTACTCAGTAAGCTCAGGTGTGACTCAGCCATACCTCTTACAGGCAAGTGGCCTTGGGCAAGTGACTTCACTTCTCTGAGCCTCAGTAGAGAAAAGGATCTGGCAGGACCGAGGTGAGGAGCAAACACAGTGATGGCTGGGCAGGTGCCGACCAGGCGTGGAGGACCCTCCACATCTGCACGCAGGAGGGTCACGCGTGAGAACTGACAGACTTCTCCCTGGAGAGCTGCCACATCGCCCAGGACCAGAGAAGGGGCCCCTGCTCAGCAGCGAACCACCTCTGACTTTGGAAAATTTTAAAGTTAATTTTCCAAGTATTTATTTATTGCCTGTTAGCTGCCAAACCTGATGCCCAGCAAACAGCAGCATCCCCCTCATCTCACACTTGGTCAGCAGCAGGTGTTTGATAGGCTCTGTCTCACCTAACCTTTTCTCAAAGCCCACCCTTTGAGGTGGGAATTATCATTAGCTCCATTCTGTAGATGGAGAAATTAATTGAGGCCTACAGAGGTTCAGTAACTTACTGAAAACCACAGGGCTGTTTGCTTATGAAGTTGGCATTGAACCCTAGGCATTTTGGTTCTGGAACCTGGCATTGAACCCTTCTCTGTGCATAAAGCTGAAGCCAGAGGCTGTGAAACAGAAACTAGCACAGGGGGCCTGGTCAAATGAAGGGGCCAGCATTGCTTGGTGGCTAAGACCAAAGACTACGAGGCCAGAATGCCTGAGTTCCATTCACTATCAGCTGTGTGATCCTGGACAAGTTACTTAACCTTTCTGAACCCTGATTTTCTGGGGATGATAAGGGTGAACTTCCTCATAGAGCTATTGTCCAAGTAACTACGTATAAAGTGCCAAGATGTGCCTGGCGCACAGTCAGCTTTCAGGACCTATCAGTTGTCATTGATTTTGTTTTGGGCCTTTCAGAGCACTATGTGGGAGTCTGGTGGCCTTGGCCTTGGTCATCGTTGTAGCCCCATCTCCAAAATCCAATGACAGAAAAATCATATCCTTCTAGCACTCCAGAGTCCAAAGCCAGTGGGGGTGGATGAAAAGAAAGAGGGCAAAGCATATCGACATTTTGCCCAGGAGGACAGAGAGGCTGAATAACTATCCAGGGTCCCCCAGCATCGATGAGGCTGGGGGGCCAGCCCAGGCTTTCCACTCCTTATCTGGTATCCGAGACCCAAGAGAATTATTGTTGACAGTAAGAACGGGGTCAGGAGTGTGGGTTCTGGGACTAGGTGGGTGGGGTTTGAATCCTGGATGCTGTGTAATTTGGGGAGAGTTATGAACTGCTCTGTCCTCACTGTCCTCATTTGTAAAATGGTAATAACCACAGTTACCATCTCAGAAGGTTGCTGTGAGGCTTAAATGGGGGATGGGCCAGAGCGAGGGCTCAGGAACACAGCTCAGAGCACCTATGATGGTGTCCCTCTCAGGATTTCCCATCTTGCCCCATGTGCGAGGGCACCCAGAGGCCCACTGTGCACAAGGAGGCCCATTGTGATACCTCTAGGCTGAGGCCTAGCACAGCTCTCTTCTAGGTGTTTCTGCAGAGAATGGAAGGCCCGTGAGTGGCTGGAACCCTGGGCTCCGAGTCTGGCCTGGCTTCCCTACCAGGACCCTACTTTAACCTGGGCTCCTCACTGTCTGTCTGGGCCCCAAAGTTCTCATTTGTAGAAGGGGAGGGGGCCTATAGGGGACGACAGGAAGGACACAGGAGCTGTGTCAACAGAAACAGTTTCCCTCCTGGGTCCCAGGAGCCAGATACCTACTCCCACTTCTATTCATAGAGGGCCAGTTTATTCACCAGTAAGTACTGGGGAGGCTGTAGGCAAGCTGAGGGAGCAGGAAAGGACCTCTGGGGATGCTGTTGCTTTGATGACAGGAGGCCTATCCCCACCCTGCTCCATCTCCCCTGCATTCCTGGGGCTGCCCAGGCAGCCCCGGGACTGGAGGCCCCTCCAGAGGCTCTCCCCCGGGGAAGGCATACTTACAATTTACTGTCCTAGGCCGGGGCTGGTGACCAAGGCTGAGGAGACAGAGCCCTGTCCTTGTTTGTATTTAAGCAGTGAACTCAGTGGGGCAATCGGGGAGGCTGCTGGTGAATATTAACTAAGGTTAACTCAGTTATCAGAGGAGCAAACAGGGACTAAGTCCATCTGCCAGACACTGAGCCTCCGCCCACACTGCCTGTATGTGCTCTGCCTGGGGAGCCGGCAGCCCTCTGCTCCAGAGACCAAATGATGTCACTGCACCCTGCTCATAAACCACAGCATCCTGCGTGCAGGGTAGGGTGGCATGACTCAGGGACTTAGGGACGACACCACTTTCCTGGTGCTACACTCCCTGCTGGGGACTTCTCAGTGGCTGTCTTGTTGGTATCTGGAGCTCCCATTCACTGAGC